TTTCGTGTTTGCAAATTCCTTTAGTTTTTGTTTGTCCTGGAAGCTTTTTATCTCTCCTTCTATTTTCAATGACAGCCTAGCTGGATATAGTATTCTTGGACATGCCACCATCTCTAATGTGTTCTTACCAAAATATGAGAAGTGAATCTTGTTACACCTCTAAACTTGTAAGTTTTTAGTTAATACAGAGGGCAGAGAACTATATTAAATAATGTCATAGGTATGCAAACAGCAAAATTCAAAGACAAGAAATTCTACAGGATAAATAATGCAGTTGTTTCAATGAATGAATTTCAAGAGAAAAAGAATAGGAACTAGAGATTATAAGACTTAGAAGACAAAGCAACCAATTGCTTTGTCTTACCGATCTTATTTGGACCGTAACTCAAATAAGCTTTTAAAAAAGAATGTAGTTGGGGCACCTGGGTGGCTCAGTTGTTAAGCGTCTGCCTTCGGCTCAGGTCATGATCCCAGGGTCCCGGGATCAAGCCCCACATCAGGCTCTCTGCTCAGCAGGAAGCCTGCTTCTCCCTCTCCGCTCACCCTGCTTATGTTCCCTCTCTCGCCGTGTCTGTGTCAAATAAATAAAATCTTAAAAAAATAAAATAAAAAATAAAAAGTACATGGTTTTTAAGAAAACCTTAATTACAAACTAAGGAATTATTCCTTTTTATTGGTATGATAATAGTATTGTGGGTTTTCTTTTTCAAAGAGTTCTTACCTTTCAGAGGTACACACAAATATTTATAGACAACATTTGGGAGTTGTTTCAAAATACTTCAGTAGGGGTGGAAGACAGGGAGGGGGGTTTGAAAAAAACCAAGACTGGCTATGACTTTATGATGGGTAAAGCCAAATAATACATGGGGATTCATTATATGTTTGAAATTTTCCATTATAAAAAAATTTCTAAATAGAAAAACATAGAAAATAAAATATTTAACATTTGAATAAGAAACAAAAGTATTACTAAAATTCCATGGAAATATTTTTTTCTTTTGAGGCTTTTTCAAGGCATCATCCATAAATTTTGGTCTCAAAGCAGATAGGGGAACCTAAAAGAAAAAGCCAGCAAGGCCTATCTCCTACCAAAGCTTCTCTGAAGAGATTCCAACTGGCTGAAAACCCTAAGTCCTATTTGGCTAAGGATATGATCAAAGAGAATCTACAAATTTAATTTCGGTAAACAGAAAGACCACTGATGAGCAACTCCCAGCCTGTAGTGGCCCCAGACTCCTTGACTAATTTTGGAATATAGACCTCCTAGAGAAGACCAAACTCAGGCCACATCAGCCCCAGGTCCTACAGACCACAAGCCAGAGACTTAGGGAAAGCCTTCCCCTGGGTTTGGCTGCAAGGTGGCTGTAAGCTTAGCCAAGCTTGTCTGGGAGGTGGGAAAAAAAAAGAGCTGATTTTACATCTGGACCTCAATATTGCTAGGTAGCAGCAGCCTAGTGTCTCAGACAGTGCATGACATCTCAGATACACTTATGCCCTGACTACTGCAGGCTCATGGGGACGGCTGAGAGGCCAGGAAGTCATCTGCTAAATTAAAATGAAACATCACGGCTATCTACCATGGCTATCTAAGAAACATGTGATAAAATAATGTGTTTCAAAGTAGACTGAGTAATGTAACTCTGTGTTGAAGTCATCATTTATCTTAATTTACAATGAAAAAATGAGGAGAAAAATACTCAGGAAAATAATCTAATACTAAAAGACACCACAAAGGACACCTGGATGGCTCAGTCAGGCATCTACCTTTGGCTCAGGTCATGATCCCGGGGTTCTGGGATCAGCCACCATCGGGCTCCCCCTGCTCAGCAGGGAGTCTGCTTCTCCCTCTCCCTCTGACCTTCCCCCTTGCTCGTGCTCCCGTGCACACGCTCTCTCTCAAATAAACTTTTAAAAAATAAATCAATAAAAATAAAAACAAAAGGCACCAGAAGACAAATCACATCTTGTAATTATAGTACTCAGACTCTCTCACTGAGCAGCCAGCATTTGAAGGCACAGCACTACAATGCTGCTGTGTGGTCCACGTTCATTACACAGAATTTTAAGCAGAATATTCCAGAATTTTAAACAGAAAGGAAACTCTTTAGTGATGGCAAAATAAGAAAGCATAAACAGTTACAAATACTGTACCTTCTCATTATTATGTATTTTTAAATGCCTACAAACATCTTTATTTTTCCTGAACTGGCACTCATGCAAAACAGATCACTACCACCTCATCATCCATAGTTGGCGACCAAGATCCTCTCAGATGACAAGGCTCTAGATGTATCAACAGAGACTATTTAGTAACAAGAGGTAGGTGGCGAATGCATTTCAAGGCAAGACACTGACAGGACCAAGAACAAAGGCACAGATCCCAGATCCGGTGTTTATGGGAGTATCCACAGGTTCTACCTTAGATGGTTCTGAAGATCAAATATATTCACTAAAATGTAAGCTCTACAAGGTCAAGGATCTTTTCCCATTTTATTAACTGATGTATGGCAAACACCTAGCCAAGTTCCTGTTGGGCCTCAACAAATTTGTGTGGAATGAATAAAGAATAGAAAAAAAGGCATCTTATATACTGTAAAATGCCATCAAATATAGGGTATTAATACCAGTTCATCTTTTGGATTCATTTAATTAGATCTTTATATAGAACTGAATGTTTTTTAAAATATTTTCATGTTTATTCAGTGATCAATAAAATATTAATTTCCTAATGGATGGGTGAACAGTTGTTACAGTACAAGGAATAATGGGGAAACTTTACAGATGAGGGTACAATTGTACAGACACAAAGGGGGTTACAAATAAAGTAAAATCAACAAAGCTGCCTGAGAGATCCCAACTGGGGAGGGAAAGATCCAGGCACCTGAGCAGCAGGGCAGAACGAGTGAGCACCAGAAGACTATCCTCTCACACAGCACTTAGCACAAACATAACTTGGAACGCCTGGAGTTATTAATGGTTCTGTGTTTTTCCACTGCTAAATCACAAGCTCCGGGAGGTTCAGGGCTCATGCGTCTTGTTCACCACTGTGTTCCCAGCACCAGGCACAGAGTAGCTGTTCAATAAATATTTGTTAAATGGAAAAGAAGGAAGGCAAAGTCTGAACTAATGATCTTGCAGGTAGATACAGCCCTCATAAAAATGAGGGTTAAGTTTCCAACATGGGAGAAAACTTTGCTTTAACTACCAGACTTGCTTAAGAGGTGGATATGAACATTCTACCAAAGGAGGCTCTGAAATTCAGGATATCCTTTCCCCAAAAGATGGTGAGAAACTGTTCACATCACTTGGATAAAAGACATGAGGAGCTGTGCTCTCTGGAAACTCAAAATAAATCAGGTCTTTCCCTGGTTCTGTTTTCAACAAATGGGAAGAAAATGGGTCAAAGTGCCTTTCCGCACCCCATCACTCTTCAGCCCCCACTTCAAAGCCCTTCAGTGAGTAAAGACGAATGCATCCTCCAATGAGGTCTCCCTCCATTTGTGGTCCTGAAAGGTCCTGCACCTTCCAGACCTTCCATTCACAAAAAAGGTGCATTTCAGCATGGCACCCTTACTGCACCAGGGTCTCCTGGCGATGCTGAGTTTTCTGGTGCCGATTGAGGATGGACCTCTGGTTGAAGCTCCTCCCGCAGGCAGGACAGTGGTAGGGCTTTTCCCCAGTATGGATCCTCTGGTGTCTGACCAGCCGCTCCCCTTTACTGAACCGCTTCCCACACACCTGGCACCCGTACGGCTTCTCGCCTGTGTGGGCTCGCCGGTGCACAGCCAGGTTTGCGTTCCTGCTGAAGCTCTTGCCACACTCACAGGTGTAGGGCTTTTCCCCCGTGTGAGTTCTCCGATGCACCTGCAGATGCTGCCTCCGGCTGAAGCTTTTCCAGCAATCACCACACTTGTAGGGCTTCTCCCCCGTGTGACTCCTCTGGTGAACCTCGAGGTGGTGCCTCTGGCTGAAGGTTTTCCAGCATTCACTGCACACATAGGGTCTCTTTCCCAGGTGTGTTCTCTGGTGCTTCATGAGGTACTCTCTCAAAGTGAACCCCTTCCCACACTCGACACACCCGTAGGATTTCTCTTCTTCATGAGTTCTCTGGTGTCTGACAAGATTTGAGCTCCGACTGAAGCCTTTTCCACACTCGGGGCACTGAAAAGGCTTCCAGAAGGAGCTGTGGGTCTTGAGGTCATCCGGCAGGGGTATGACGCCATGCTGCTGAGGCGGCGGCCCTGGCATGTTTCCCACAGAACTACTGGGCTCCTGCTCACAGCTTCTTCCAAGCTCAGGGCTCTGAAGTGTGGCTTCCCCAAACCTCTCTGACGTCACCCGAGCAAGCGCCCCCTTGAGGTCTGCCTGCTGGGTTTTAGCCTCCTTTTCCTTGCTCCCAATGCCTACAGGACAAAGGAGATACAGGCTAATTCTACAGCAACTATGAAAGTAAATTTATACGTTAGAATTTGGCTCCTAACGTATCCCCCTAACAATTCCTTCTTTTTCCCTTTGACTGACAACCTCAAAACAGTTTCCTTTCACTGACTCTAAAACCAGACTTTGCTCTACTTCTCTCCATCTCTGTTACTGACTGAATGTTTGTGTCCCCAACCCCCCAAATTCATAGGTTGAAGCCCTATGCCCTAATGTGATGCTATCAGGAGATGGGGTGTTTGAGAAGTAATTAGGTACAGTCATAAGGGTGGAGCCCCCCAAATGGGATTAGTGTCCTTATAAGAAAAGGAAGAGAAATCAGAGCACTTTGCACACACAGGTCATGTGAGCATGATTCCTCATGATAGGATTATTGCCCTTGTGGAAGAGGCAGAGACACAAGATGGATCCCTCCATTGTCTGCCATGTGAAGACACAGTGAGGTGGCAGCCAGGTGCAAGAGAGGAAGAGGGTGTTCTCCAGACAATGAATCTACAGGAACCTTCATCTTGAACTTCCAGAATTCTGAGAAATAAATGTCTGTTGTTTAATCCACACAGTCTATAATATTCTATTGTAGCAACCCCGAGCTAAGACAATCTCTGTACCTTTTTACACAATAGTCTGCCAAATTTTAACAACCACTCACTTAACATTCTACTAACTCGGACTTTCATTTCCTTCTAAATCTAACTCAATGATTTCCTTGAAGAAACCAGCCCTGCTTTCTCTCTTCAGCGAATATATACTGAATTAGCACTTTGCTTATCCTGCACTTATTTATACACAATCTTGTTGAAAATGCTATTTTACATTCATCAAGGTGTTCTGCCTTCCCTAGAGATTACAAACCTATTCCAGGGATGGTGAACTACTTGGAGTTCTCCATATCCTCCCTACACTTGCTCAGCAAGTGGTCCCTGCTCACGCTGCTCCCTCCGCCTAACCAGGTTTTATCAATCTGGGTCTCCTGGGAGCCTGGCATAGGCTTACTGGCTCCTGGATGAATGAACAAACCCACTCTGTCACTGACTTCTACCAGACTGAAATGCCCGTGAATGCTACTGAAATGCCCCAACCTGTCTAGACGTCCTTCCTCTGATCCCTCTTTCATGCTCTCTAAATTAACACAACAATTATTTACAGAACAGGAGGAAGGTGAAAAAAAGGGAAGGCTCTAGGGAGCAAAATAGCCAAGACAGAAAAAAAGAGAAACAAGGGGCGCCTGGCTGGCTCAGTCCGTGGAGCATGCGACTCTTAATCTCAGATTGTAAGTTCGCGCCCCAGGTTGGGTATATAGATTACTTAAAAATAAAATTTTAAAAAAGAGAAAGAGAGAGAGACAACAAGCAGCACTTAAGGATGGAAAGGGTCCTTTCAGGTGACGCTGTTAAAATGCAAAAAGAAAAACATCACATGCCTCCTGACCTAAACAAAGATGAAGGACTCTCACCTCTGATGGATTCTTTTGTAAATTTCCCAGGAAAGTAAAACTGCACAAAACATTAAGTATAGAGTTCAAAGAATTTTTATAATGAACACAACCATGTAAACAGCATCCAGAAAGCCCTCTCCCATGCCCTCCAGGGACTATATCCTGCCCCCCTAGGCAAACATGCTATCCGGACTTTTATCACCATGAAGTGCTTTTGCCTGGTCTTGAACTTTATGCATTGGATTCACACATCGTTTATGGCTGCTTCTGTTCATTATTATGCTTTTAAGATTCACCCACATTGTGGAATATACTATAATTACACTATGTTCTTTTTTGTTAGTGTATGGTATTACACTGTAAGGATATATTGGAACCTACTTGTTAACTTGGCTGATGTTCATTTGGGTAGTTTCCAGTTTTGAGGTGTTATGAATAGTAAAACTGAAACTAAATGTAAAGCACGAGCTTTACCTAGACCCTGAGGAGATAGGAGTATGTGCTAGGTATTACATGTCATGGAATTCTGGTTTCTCAGGCCCAATCCTACACAGCTGTCAATGCAGGAGCCACACGTTCATGGGACTAAATCCCAGGATGATCTGAAGGTTGAGACAGCCAGTAGAAAGTATGCATGGGAAACGGACCTCGGCCCACCAAGACAGCATAAACACTTAGGGAAGTGCTTAGGTTTTTTGAAACAATGAGAAGAGGACAAACATACAGCCAGACTCTCTAGCACAGTCAGAATGGCCAAGGGCATGTAAAAACCCTCTAGCAATAGGAGGGCAGAATCTTCCAGCACACAGCAGCGTTGGTGGCAGAATTTTGTCCCTGAGGGGAACCAAGGTGCAGGAATGCTAATACCACCATCTGGGGCACACTGCAGGAGCTCCTGCGCTGCACAGTTATGTCCGAGGGTTTCTACGTCCTCTGCCATTACAGAAGTCTTACATCTCTTTGTAACATATGTTGGCAGCCTTTGGCCACTCACATCACTGCCATGGCATGACAACCCTGTCCTGGACCCAGTTCTCCTAAGTCCCTCCTCTAAGTGCCCCTTACACTACTCCATAATGACCATTATCACATACACTTGGGCTCTTCATCCGAGCTGCTGAGATCGTAGAGGCAAGGACCTTTAATACTTCATAGTCACCGGCAGAATGTTGGTCACATAGTAAGTGCCAAATAAGTATTTTGGAATGATAAATAAATGAATGTTGACTGACTCACAAAGAAATAATATTTGTAGAGCTAATATCTAACACTACTATATTCGCCAAACATTAATCCTCACAACGCCATGAGATTTCCCATTTTGCAACTGAGAAACCAGAGCCCTAAAAAGGTCACCTGTGGTGTCCAAGGTCACAATCAGTAAGTGATGGAACCAGGATGGATTCTCATGTGCTAAAGGCAGTATAGTGATACTCTCACTCATCCCTCAACATGTTTCAAGATGAAAATGGGCCAGATGGGGTGGGGTCAGTAGATGAGCAGTCAGTACATAACTTAGAAAGTTATGAAAGGAAAAGAAGCAGAGGGAACAAAGGAGAGGGCCATTCCCAACCACGTTTCTTTTCCTCCCTCCCTCCAGCCCGCAGAGATTCCTCTCCACTCCGGCAGTCCCTAGCCCCCTCCTCCCCGGCTTTCCTACCAGGGCCTCTCCTTGTACTTCCCTGGGCTCGCTCTTCCCTCCTCTCTTGCTGCTCCTCCTCCTGTGGGCTCTTTTCATTTGCATCATGGTCTCACCCTTCCAGCTCCAACCCCAGGTAAAACCTGGCCACCACCTGAGACAGGCCCAGCCCAGGCTCTGCTCGCTCTGTGACAAGGGAGCACATGGACCTCTCCGGTTTCTAACATCCTTCTGTCCATCCTCCTGCCATCCTCTGTACACACACCTCATGCTCTGAAGGCTTCCCTGCCATGAGTCCTGCCCCAACACAAAACTGCTAAGGTGGGGCCAGCACCCAGAGGGCACTCAATAAATCCCTACTGAATGAACAAGATCAGAGGATCATCTTTTGCCGCTCTTTTGCTCTCGAGCCTGGGTACTCTTCAGTCACAGACAGAGTAGGTGCTCCAGGAATCCTAATGACCGACCTGTCTCTTCACAGCCTGGTGTTTTCTTGCCCCCTTGTCCACTCCTCTCCTGACAGGAAAGCACATGGCCAGCTCCTTAAACCTGGATCCACGCTCTTTCCTTGGACCCATTAACTCATCTTCTTTTGTCAGTAGTACCAGGTTCTGAAATCTGGGGCAAGGGCAAGAACTCTGACCTGGTCTAGCTAAAACTTTGGGCAAGGTTTATGCCTGTGTCATTTCCTATTCCTGTTTTCAAAATTCCAAAATTGTAAAATTCCTCAGTTTCTTACCTTTGGGATGGAAACAGTCTTACCTGGAGCTGAGACCCCACAGTCCCGGGGTTCCACGTATTCCCCAAAGCAGTCTATCTGAGCTGGGGTCACATGCCTCCACTCCTCCTCGGGGAAGGCCAGGGCCATTTCTTTAAATGGCCCCAACCCCTGAAACAATAGATTACTATAGATAGAAAAATAATTCTAAGATAGGAAGAGTCTAAAAGCAGGAGACAACAGGGGACAACATTTTATGGAAGAATGGAGCAAGAAAACGGAAGGAACTGAGTCGTTAGTGGTCTTGGGGGCAGAAGGGCCTACCTCTTGACAGTTTAATGACAGGGAAGTAATGGATTCATCTGAGCCCCTGTATTTCCGAGACTTTGCTGCAGCCACCGAGCTTATACCCTCACAACCACAGAACCCAATTCCCATTTTTCAAGTGCCTCCATTCAAGCCTCAGAGCAGATCCACTCATCTAAAACTGATTTTCCCTCAGAGGTAAGTAAATATTTGGGCAGGCCTTGTCTTAAGAACAATGTTGTGTTAAAATAAATTCAGTATCATTCAACACCATGAAGAACTATTATAGGAGAAGGGGAGGGTCTGGCAAAATTAAAACATGTTGTCATCCTTTATCTCCATCCTAGGAAGACAGGAATAGGAAATGACACAAGCATAAACCTTGCCCAAAATTTTTTTTCCTGCCAAATGACAGCTTTCCTTCTACAAGAATGCTTCACTTTAAAACCACTGTCCCCGGGGCGCCTGGGTGGCTCAGTCGTTAAGCATCTGCCTTCAGCTCAGGTCATGATCCCAGGGTCCTGGGATTGAACCCCGCGTCGGGCTCCCTGCTCTGCGGGAGGCCTGCTTCTCCCTCTCCCACTCCCCCTGCTTGTGTTCTCTCTCTCGCTGTCTCTGTCAAATAAATAAATAAAAAATCAAATTAAATAAATTAAATAAATAAATAAATAAATAAAAAACCACTGTCCCCTTCAGAAAGTGCCATGCTGGAAATCCCCCACCTCCCTGGTAACAGCACCCAGTGGACATGGCAAGAGTGCCCCATCTGTGCTCTTTACCCCCATCTGTGGCAGGCAAAGAAGTGCAAACAAGGCCAAAACTCCTGGTGTAGCCAGGATAGGGGCCAGTGGGACCACTCTGCTCAGTGCTCCAGGGAATCCCGAACCCTGAGTCAGCTACATTCTTGCTGACGTGGGAGGAGGAGGGTTCAGAGGAAGAGTAGCAGCAGAAGTATCCATAAAGGCTATCTGCAAAGGGTTACTGACCAAATGCCACAGCCTAGATCAAGCCTAGGGGGTTTCTATCAATAAGGTCTTCTTCCTCACAATTAAAAGAGTAATCCTGAGTCAAGCAAAAAAAAAAAAAAAAAAAAGACAGAGCAATAAAAACGAGTGTATTGAGCCTTATGCCTGGACCCTTAGGGTTGACCCATAAGGCTCAACTCAAGTTAACTGAGGATGATAAAGTGGAGAAAACAAAGCTGTCATATCCATCAGAACAAGAAAGGTGGAATAATTCAACCTGTGGATGGCACTTCATTGTGCAGAGAAACCTTAGGGAAAGTGAACCTCATTCAAAACAATGGCATGGTCCCCAGAAGGACAGAGGTACAGCTCACCTGGGATCCAGCTGTAAGGAACCCAGCTGCCATCTCTTGGTCCCTGGTGTTCACTGGAGGGAGGCCAGGACCAGCCTGAAGAACTGGCAGAGCTAAGCAAAGGGAAAAAAGCATGAGAAAGATTAGCGCTGTCTTGCAGTTAGCTTGTTCAAAGGTGTCCATTGCCTGACAAATAGAACCCTAAGAACCTTAAGGAGACTCCATACAGATGGGGTTTGGGTACAGCCTACCCTGTTCTCAACCAAGAAGACAATCCCAACCCAATATGTCCTGGCCCTTGAAGACCAGCCATGCTCCCTGGTCACACTCTGGAAATAACCCCCTTTGAGATTCAGTAACACAATAAAGTCACATATTACTTTTAGGGATACAGTTTGTCTGCCCACTTACAAAATATCTCTACATGTCACCTGCATATTTCCAGGAGGTTTCTAGAAAGGGATGTGAGGGAAAAGAGAAGAAAAGAAATGGAAAGAGAGCATAATCCCAGGTATCCCCTGCAGAAATCAGAGTCAAGATATAGAAAACAATTTTACTTCATCTGTTTCCTACTGAAGTCAAGGAAGTAACCAGGAAAACTCATAATTACAGCCCACAGGTCATTTAATTTATCAATTGCTGGACTTGTAAAGGGCGGAGTCACAAAGCAGTTTTCTGTGTCCTTACTTCTTTACTGTTTGCATCTTACCCTGCTCCTGGAAGGCTTGGGTCCCAGCTCCAGGATCCTGACTGAGTTGCTCCTCAGTGCCTTGGTCTAGGCCTTGAACTCCTTCCCCATGAGGCATCCCCCACTCGGGCTTGATCTCCACTGGCCCCAGGTGAACACCTGGTTCCCAAGGGCCTCTGCCAAGTGCTGTCTCCTGTTGTTCTCCCTGCACGTGGCATGGAACCTAAGGACAGTCCCCAACACCTATTAGAATGAGGCCTGGGTGAGGGATTTGAATTAAAACTTAAAAAGAGAACCAAGAAAAGAACTATTCCAGCTGCAAGGGAGGGGAAGAAAAAGCTGGCTAGGTTCTTCCCCAGGATGTCAGTGGGAAGGTGAAAAAGAGGCTAACCTCTTTTTATCAGGCTCTATGCAACTGTTACGTGTCCATGCCATTTTGTAAGGGTCCTTCAGCCTGACCGAATTCCACCATGAATAATATCACAGAGAGGCTAAATATTGTTTGGTTGAGAACTTTAGCCCAAAACACTCCCTACCAGGAAAAAAAATCCCCCAATTATAAATGCTAAAAGTAAAAAATACAAACCTTGATTCCGTAGTGAATTAGCTAGTGAGAAAAACTTGCTCTAAAAATAGCAAGGAAAATCAGGACAACTCACAATTGAGACACAGTCACAAAAACAGGTCCTTTTTGGTCTACTTTAAAGCTCCTGGGTTGGGAGTAAAAAAAAATTCTTAGGATTATGGAGGAAGTCAGGGGTAACTACAGTAGGAAAAGGAAGGATGAAGTGAAAAAAGATGGTTACTTGCAAGCAAAACAGTTGTTAAGTCCTGCTCTCTTCTTTTCCAGCCAACAATCAGGTGACTGTACCAAAGAGTCACAGACATGTTGCCCAAGTCCCAAGGAAGCATCTGAGATGCAACTGCCTGGTATCACCAGACCACCACCACAGAATCGCTAATGTGAGCCACTTGAGCACTGTGCAGACCATGCTTCTTAGTAAGAATATTCACCCAAGTGGAATTCTCTGCATTCCCACATGCATCTCTGCCCAAAGAGGAATGAGTCTATGAGGGACCTTAAAACTGGTCACAACTGCCTTCTCTAGGCCTGAGGCTCACAAGGGAAATATGGCCAGGCCTCTGTCCTGATGACCAAAAAGGAAGCTAACAGCCCTTCCACAGGCCCTGCACCTTCCCTGAGAATGACTTTTCTTCCTGAAAACTCCACTGCCCTCCAAACAGTACCTCAGGGAGTCTGGGAGCAGATGAAGGAGACTGTATACCTCATCTACTCCCCCTGCTTCCTCAAACTTTTCAATTCTTTAAATCTCCCCTTCCCACACCAATGAAATAAGACCCAGATACCCCCTTCTCACCCACCGCCTTGGCCTCCAATGTTCTCTCTGTGAAGTCCTCCACCATGGCCACAAGAGCCTTGCCACTCTCCAGGCCATGCTCCCGAATCCAGGCATAGAACTCCCGTGGCAGGATGGTCAGGAACTGCTCCAGCACCAGCAACTCCATGATCTGCTCCTTGGTGTGCAGCTCAGGCCTCAGCCACTGGCGACAGAGTTCCTGGAGTTCCCTGAGGGCTTCCTGAGGACCAGCTGCCTCCTGGTAGCGGAACTGCCGAAACCTCAGACGAAAAGTCTCCGGACTAGGGTCCTCCCTTCCCCTGCCCCACGGCAACTCTTTCTCTAGCTTTACCACAGGAACACCCATCTGCTGCTGAGGGTCTTCTGCCATCCTTGGACGCTCCTTAAGCATCTTCACACCCCTCTCAGAAGACGGAAGGTCTGTTGGGAAGACCAGACAAACAAAAAAGGCAGCATAAATGAGACAAAGGAAAAGTCAGTCCATCCCAGTTCTGTGTCTACATCAATGGATATTCTGCTAGAGAACATGACAATTACTTTCAAAAGACTGAACGTATATCCTGAAAATCACGTCAATTCAATTCAGTAAGTATATGTTAACCAGCTAGTATGTGCAAAAAAATGTATAGGATTTACTTTATACCCACACACTGCAGGATCTCATTAGGGAGGTAACACTAGAATCAGAGAATATAAAATCGGTTATAATTAGATCAGTCATGCCAGCCTACTCTTCCAAAGGTATAATACACCTTCAATAAACACATATGCCAGACCTGCAGAAGCTAGAAATATAACACAGATTGGATGCCTGGGTGGCTCAGTCGGTTGAGCATCTGCTTTTGGCTTGGGTCATGATCTTGGGGTCCTGGGATCAAGCCCCACATCTGGCTCTCTGCTCAGTGGGGAGTCTGCTTCTCCCTCTCCTTCTGTGCTCTCTCTCTCTCTCAAATAAAGAAATAAAATCATTTAGAAAAAAAAGGAAATATAATACAGAACAAAACAAACAAGGCACTTACCCTTTGATACTTATATACTAGTGCAGCAGAGAAAAAATATATAAGCAAATAAATTAAAATTATAAATGGAAATAAGTTCTAGAAAGCAAATATGTAGGGTGCTCTATTAATGGATGAACAACTTGAAAAACCATTTTCTGAAAAGATGACACGTAGGCTGAAACCCAAAGGATGAGAATGAGCCAGTCATTCAGATTTTTCTAGGCACAAGGATTGAGGCCAGAAATTACTCTGTGTATCTGAGAACAAGCCAAAGTGCAGTATGGCTTCTGCAGAGTTAAGTGAGGGGCAGAGCTGCACAAGAAGAGGTGGCAGAAGCAGGCAGAACCAGATTATCCAGGAACTGGGACACACTAAAAATTACAGCTTAACCTTACTTTGGCGGGAAGCCACCTGTTTTACAAAGGTCATTTTGCCTGTGTTGTGTCAAGGGACTATAGGTTAGAGGGGATAAGAAGGGAAGCAGCACTTACAGTGGTCCAAGCAGGAGAGGCTCGGGATGGTGGCAGAGCAGAGTCAAGACATATTTTGGAGGTAAAACCAATAGACTTGCCAGTGGCTTGGATGTGCCCGTGTGCTCAGCCTAAAGAAAACAAAAGAGTGACACATATGTCATTATAATTGATCAAAAGATTTTTAACCTGTGGGGTGCCTGGACGGCTCAGTCAGTTAAGGGCAGACTCTTGATTTCCCTCAGGTCATGATCTCAGTGTCCTGGGATCCAGCCCGGCTTTGTGTTCCGCGCTCAGTACGGAGTCCGCTTCAGGATTCTCTCCTTCTCCCTCTGCCCCTCCACCCCCTGCTCTTGCTCTCAAATAAAAAAAAAATTTTTTTTTTTACAGATTTTTAACTTGTGTAGGCTCTACCAGTTAGAAAGCCTTTGACCACACACTCTCATTTGATACTCAATAACCATTCTGGGGGCGCCTGGGTGGCTCAGTCGTTAAGTGTCTGCCTTCAGCTCAGGTCATGATCCCAGGGTCCTGGGATCGAGTCCCGCATCGGGCTCCCTGCTCAGCGGGGAGTCTGCCTCTCCCTGTGACCCTCCCCCCGTCATGTGCTCTCTCAAATAAATAAATAAAATCTTTAAAAAAAAAAAAAAATAACCTTTCTGTATAAGGAGTATTACTCCCCCTACTTTTCAAACGAAGAAACTGGAGATGGAAGAGATTAGTGGCCAAGGTCCGCAGCCCAAAGGATATGGCACAGATAAGCCACAGGGGGAGCCAAAATGAGGGAAAGGTTAATGTCGGTGCAAGTACTCATTAAAGAAGGGTCTTACGCTAGACTGGAGGATGAGAACTATTTAATTTTATGCCGGGTTCAGGTTGGGGGTGCAGGGTAGGCTGGGGAGACGGACCTGGGAGTCCAAAGTGGGGAAGGGGCTCAGTTTTTAGAGGAGGGAAAGATCACTCTTAATGCCACAGAGAATAAACTGGCAGGAGGTACTTCCGAAGCTCCTACTTAATATTCTACTGGGTGTTTGTGTACTTATATAACCTTCCTAAACCTATTTTACATTTTCAGTCGATTCATTTTCTCCGCTGCACCAACCGAGATTTCTCTTTCATGACTTCCCAGCTACTGCATTTATTCACTCCCCTGTTGCATTGAGGGCACTACGGCGCAAAAGTTTACCAATGTGTCTCCGACTACCAGATTCCCTGAAGGCGCGAAAGGTCCTCATTCCTCTCTCATCCCTGGCACTTGACGAAGAGAAGGCTTAAAGAGAAGCCGTTCTTTACGTGAGTGTCCCACGTCTCGCTCTAAAATGGCTACTTTCAATTTTGTGAGAGATCCGCGCTGGTTCCAGGTCTCGAGTTCGTGGACGCCCCCGGCGCTGAAGTAACTCTGGCCGGGCCGGCCCAACCCCGCTCCCACCTGAGCCCCCGCGTCCCGCCCCGCCATGGCCTCCGTGCCGCGGAAGGCAGCTCCGGGGAGACGCGCCGCCCGCTGCCTCAGCCCCGCCACCGCCGCCGCCGCCGCCGCCAGCACCGCCACCGCAGCGGCCCGCAGCGGCCCCGAAGCCCGGCCCGCCGCCGCCTCCGCCTCGACCTAGCCACCCCAACCCGCCTCTCACCCGCAGTCCCTCAGCAGCTCCGGCCTGGCCCGAGCCCTCAGCGGATCGGAAGTGGGCCACGGATGCTGTCAGACAGGTGCGTGAGGAAAGAGCCCCTTCCGCTTCCTCTCTAGGACTCCCGGAGGTCGGTGTGTCTCTATGGTCGCTGGTCCCCTGGGCCTCTCCCCGGAGACCGAGTGCCTCTTCCCGGGCTAACTCGTCCCTTAGAGGCTCGCGGTCCTCGCGATCGTCAGGCCCTTTGGCGCCTCTGTGTCTTTGCATCTGCTTTCCCTCCGTGAGAAGGTCCGTCCAGACATACTACCGGACACGAAGCCTGTGTCAATGGGCTTTGGAGTCCAGTCGGTCAACACGTGCTTATTCCGCGCTTCTTGTACTTTGTGCAAGGCGCGGGGGCCGAGGGTGACAGAGGGAAGCACCGAATGCTATAGGTTCGCATAAGAGGGGCCTCCACCCGAGTAGTTGGGAGGAGGGAGTCAGGGAAGGCTTCCTGGAGGAGCCGGCACCTCAGCTCAGATTTGAAGGGTGGACCTTTTAAAAAGTGAGGTGAGTGTCCCTAGTGAGTGTGGAGGGATTGACCCCATTCCCACACCACCCAGGCCACTCGAGCAGGCGGTTAAACTAAGTATTTCGGTTGATAAGCTAAAGGCAATGGGAAGCCATGGAAAGGTTTAAAGATGGGAAGGGACACATTTTGGAAAGATGTTGCTGAGAACCCTTCGAGAAAGACTGAGCAAGAAGGGAGGGCGGTGGAGAAATGAGACGGCTGATTGTCGCATAAAAAGAGGCTTAAAGGGGCAGTCCAAGAGAGAGAGGGTCAGACAGACCTGGGGCATTCGGTGAGAACAGAGATTGCAAGGAGTGATTCAATAGGAAACTTACTGAGGAAGTAAAATTGCCAAGGTTTGAGGACTGATTGGGTCTGGAGGATGAGAGAGAAGGTGGAATAATTTAGTAAATGACCACATTTATCGATAAGAATGAACATTTAAAAAGCAGACAACTGGTTGGTCATCTGGAAAGAGATAATGTTGGGTCCATACCTTATACTGCATCCAGGACCAAGTCCAGCTGGGTTCACGGGATCTCAGATTCTTTTATATTACGAATTACATGATCAATCCACCTTGGGAATAGTGTCGGATAGCCTCCAACCACTAACATGCACTCACATCTGAGAGGTATGAGACAACCTTGTCATCTGGGGCCAAATGAAACTGCCCAATTGGGCTCAATCTGTCTGGGAAAACTGAACTATTCCTAGTGATATCAAAAACCTTCCTTCAGTTTGTTATGGAGAAGACACAGGGAAGAGAGCATTCTGGCAAGGGCAGGAGGAGATTGGATCAGATCACAGGTTTCCAGGGCAGCTTTGGAGAGGAAAGGGGACTCCTCTGAATTGGAAAGAAAAGATTCAAAGATGAGTGATGGTCTAGGTCGGGGCTCAGCAAACTTTTTCTATGAAAGGCCAGAAAGTAACTATCCTAGGTTTTGCTGGACACATTTTCACATATCCATTTTTGCAATCCTGTAAAAATGTCAAAGCCATGTTTAGCTCACAGCCAGCACTAGATTTGACACAAGGGCTGTAGTTGGCTGACCTCTGAAATAGATGGTTTTAAAATCGTACTACGGAGGTGTTTGAGGAGTTCTTTCTTTCTTGGCCTCCTGCCCCAGTGATATTACCTGCTGAGAATGCATGGGACAGTGATAGGCTTAAATAATGGAGTAAAAACTGAAATATCTATTGTGAGGAATGATGTAAGAAAAAATTATATGGGCGCCTAGGTGGCTCAGTTGGTTAAGCATCTGCCTTCCACTCAGGTCATGATCTCAGGGTCCTGGGATCGAGCCCCAAGTTGGGTTCCCTGCTCAGCGGGAAGCCTGCTTGTCCCTCTCCCTCTGCCTTCCCACCCCCCACTCATGCTCTCTCCCTCTCTCCTCAAACAAATAAAATTTTTTACTTTTTTTTAAAGATTTTATTTATTTATTTGACAGAGCGAGAGACAGCGAGAGAGGGAACACAAGCAGGGGGAGTGGGAGAGACTCCCACTGAGCACAGAGCCCAACTCGAGACTCAATCCCAGGACCCTGAGATCATGACCTGAGCTGAAACCAAGAGCCAGACGCCTAACCAACTGTGCTACCCAGGCGCCCCCCTATGTCTTTCTTGAGAAACTTCATGCACGGCAAAAGATTGTATGTTTTAAGTATTCAAATTCATTCATCCTTTTTTATTTTTTTAAGATTTTATTTATTTGAGAGAGCGCGTACGCACGCACGCACGCACACGCACACACACACACACACACACAAGCCCAGAGTAGGGGGGTTGGGGAGGAAGGGGCAGAGGGAAAGGGAGAAGCAGACTCCCCGCTGAGCAGGGAGCTCAATGCAGGGCTCAATCCCAGGACCCTGAGATCATGACCTGAGCGGAAGGCAGATGCTTAAGCGACTGAGCCACCCAGGCACCCTTCATTCATTCTTTTTTAAAAATCTCTGTGCCTTCCAGGGGCTCCTGAGTGGCTCAGTCCGTTAAGAGTCTGCCTTCGGCTCAGGTTATGATCTCAGGGTCCTGGGATCGAGCCCCGCATCAGGTTCCCTGCTCAGTGGGGAACCTGTTTCTCCCACTCCTTCTGCTCCTCCCCCTGCTCATGCTCTCTCTCTCAAATAAATAAATAAAATCTTTATAAAAAAAAAAATCTGTGCCTTCCATATTCCCAATGGCTAGCAAGTTTTCCTCAACACCATTTGTTGAAGGCTCTATTTTTCCTTGTATAAAGTTGCCTCTATATTTGGACTCCAATTCTGTAATCTACCTGGATCCTATGTCAAGACCTGCCAAATTATTTAATAACCACAGTTTTATACTTATCTTTTATATTTGGAAGAGCTTTTCTACATCACTGGCCCTTCTTTCCCATGATATAAAGAGAAGATTTTTGAAGAAAAATTAAGAACAGTAGTCTAAAAACTGCAAAGGAAACCAGACAAATTCCAACCTCATGCTCCTGGCCCTGAGAGATCAGAATATAACCAAAGGAATGCTAGGGAAATGGCAATGTCAAAAAGAAGACAGATTTTCAGGGATGCTGAGCAAATGAAGGCACTTTTTCCTAGCAAGGAACATGGTACTGAATGAGTCGAGAGCATTGTGAGGTCCTGAGAGAAAAGAAGGGGAAAAGGGAGGAAGGAAAGAGGGAAAGAGACAGAGGGGCAGAGGGAGAGAGAAAAGAAAATTATCTGATAGAAGACATCACCTCTCTGGTTCTTTAATAAGAAAAATGGGTAGAATTATACCTGGCCTGTCTTTAGCAGGATAAAGTAAAATGGCAGATGTAAGAGTTGCTTTGGCATTAACTATAGAAATGAAGGTTATAGGGGGCACCTAGTGGCTCAGTCAGTTGAGCAACTGACTCTTGATTTCAGCTCAGGACCTGAGATTGGGCTCCCCATACCTGTTTCTGAAGTTGCACTGCTCAAGTTATGACAGCTTTCCCCCCGCTTTGTGTTACTTACAGAGCAAAGTGGGGAAGCATTGCTGGTGGGTATTGTTCAGATGAAGGGTGGATATGAAGTCTGCAGAGCGCTTGGATCACTGTTCTAGCTGCACACCTCCCCCCCCCAAGCATTCCTACTTCCCAGCTACACCCATCCTAGCTGTGGGGCTGAGAGCTCCCCAGTCTGTAAGCACCATCAGGACACGTTAGAGATGCCCCTGGCTTTAGTGAGAGGATGGAACACCCCTATGTTAGTTGGCTAACTTGCCTCTGCTTGCCCCCGGGGGGTTACAGACCCATTAGGCTCAGACTTCCAGACCTGGGGGCTTAATCCTGAGAAGCATTCACCTTTAACCACTCCCAACCCTTCCCTCCAACACATACTTAAGTTTCCTGTACTGAGTCACACCTTTGTCTGGGGACATCACTTTCTTTTTTTTTTTTTTTTTTTTAAGATTTTATTTATTTGAGAAAGAGAGAGACACAGCAAGAGAGGGAACACAAGCAGGGGGAGTGGGAGAGGGAGAAGCAGGCTTCCCAAGGAGCAGGGAGCCCGATGCAGGGCTCAATCCCAGGACCCTGGGACCACGACCTGAGCTGAAGGCAGAAGCTCAACCGGCTGAGCCACCCAGGCGCCCCCATCACTTTTTCTTTTTAATGTCACTAACTCAAACACCCTCTGTTGGGGTTATATTCTGTTCGGTTTTTGTTTTACAAAAGCTCACTTCACTTGATCTTTTTGTCATATTCCTTCCTCCCCTCCTGTCCTCCAGGCTGGTTTTCTTGAGGTTTGGATTAACATTCAGTAGTCCTTTTATTGAAAACACCTGCAAAACAAAACAAAACACACACACACATTGGGGCGCCTGGGTGGCTAAGTCGTTAAGCGTCTGCCTTCGGCTCAGGTCATGATCCCAAGGTCCTGGGATCGAGTCCCGCATCGGGCTCCCTGCTTGGCAGGAAGCCTGCTTCTCCCTCTCCCACTCCCCCTGCTTGTGTTCCCTCTCTCGCTGTCTCTCTCTGTTAAATAAATAAATAAAATCTTTAAACACACACACACACACAAACCACTCAGGAAACAGAATAATTCAAAAAACTTTTAATAAATTGCAAAGACAAGCAAGACAGAATCACTGTGAGTAGGGGGAAGGGGAGCACTGATCTGACTCAGGAAGCTCATCAGAAGCCGCAGAGACTGGCTGCCCCTTAGGCCCCCACGCGGGCACTCAGAGCTGAGGCTTGGTGGAGGACACTCTCCCGGACTAGGTAACCGTTTCTTCCTTCAGCAGTGTCTCCTTTTGTATTGAGCTCAGGTCTCCTCCCAAACTCTCCAGATTCTCCAGGTGGGGGACCCCTTGGGTTTCCTCGATACTCCGGGAATTGGGCAACCGATGGCAGCTAAGGCAGGCTGTTTCTTGAAAGAGGCAGATGGCACCTGGGTAACAGCGAAAGTTTGGGTCAGGCTGGAGAGTGAGGTCAGGAACTCCCTCCTCGAATGTGACCCCCTTGTCTGTACCCGCCCTCCCTAGTTCTCCCCTCCAATATAGAGTATTACAGAGACAGACAGAAAACATAATGCATCACAAGACAAGGCATGCAAAAAGATGGATAAAACTCACAGAACCATAGCCAGTGCTGGAAGACATCTTAGCAACCAGCTAACTATTAATAGGTAAGAAAACAAGGTTTAAGCGGAAGGTCAAACACAAAACCCAGGCCTCTTGATGCCCAACTCAAGTCCCCCAGTAAAGTAAAAGAACGGAAAAAGAGAATTAATGTCATAAAACAAATGTAGACTTCTTGAGTGAATAATAAATGCTGTATTAAGGTTAAGGCTAAGAGAAAGAACAACTTCTATGTTCAGCATGATAGCAGACTACATACTCTCCCAATAAAAACAACTAAAATTCTATGTAAGATATTTCTTCAGGGGGGAAATCAGAGGGGGAGACGAACCATGAGAGATGATGGACTCTGAGAAACAAACTGAGGGTTCTAGACGGGAGGCGGGTGGGAGGATGGGTTAGCCTGGTGATGGGTATTGGGGAGGGCACGTTCTGCGTGGAGCACTGGGTGTTATACGCAAACAATGAATCATGGAACACTACATCAAAAACTAATGATGTACTGTATGGTGACTAACATAACATAATAATAAAAAAAAGATATTTCTTCAAACACCTATTTGTAAATACATCATCAAACTGGCATCAGGGTAAGGCATTCTTAGGAACAAAACCCTAGTGAAAACAGAAACCTAGAGAGTTTAAGCAAGCACACAATTAGCCTTCATGTGGGAGACATACACTCAACCCAGGTAACCCTGAGTTTCCATTCTGTTGGCCATTTGGGACACAAAATGAGAGGAAAAGCTCAGGGCCTGCTCAAGATGAGCAATCTAAGAAGGGTCTGCCATATGAAGCTAGAACTTTCAAGTTACCTGTATTGACTGAGAATTCATAAACAGAGGCTAGCTGTTCTGTGGGTCTGCAACTAAAATTCATAATACCTGTTGTGATCCTTGGCTAGCTGTGCACCCAAGCACCATGCAGAAGCAAATGCAAATCCCTTTCTGAAAAAACACTTTAAATACAGGCCTCAGAGAATTTCTACCCCCCCAAAAAAAAAAAATCCAAGGAAAATGAATTCACAAACATACCAAGAAACAAGACACCACAAGCAAAAGCCTGAAAAACAGCAGCCGATGGACTCAGACCAGCATATCATATCATTCAGTTGTTAAACTTATAGGACAGAGAATGCAAGGTATGCTTAACATGTATAATAAAAATATGTTTAGAGAACAGGTTAAAGATATAAGTGAGGGGGCGCCTGGGTGGCTCAGTCGTTAAGCATCTGCCCTCGGCTCAGGTCATGATCCCAGAGTCCTGGGATCAAGCCCCGCATCGGGCTCCCTGCTCAGTGGGAAGCCTGCTTCTCCCTCTCCCACTCCCCCTGCCTGTGTTCCCTCTCTGTGTCTCTCTCCGTCAAATAAATAAAATCTTTTTTTAAAAAAATCAGAATAAGAAAGTAAGAGGAAAAATTAAACAGCAAATTAGATACAGCAAGAGATAAAATTACTGGATGAGCCTAAGACAGATCCAGAGATATGATTAGAATGCAGCATGGAAACACAGAGGTGAAAAATATGAAGAAAAAAAACCAAACATAAAAGACAGAAGGTTGGATGCGTCTAATAATATGAACTTCAGAAAGAAAGACTGGGAAAAAATGGGGAAGAAGCAGTATTTGAAGAGACAATGGTTAAGAATTTTCCAGTATGGGGGCACCTGGGTGGCTCAGTCGGTAAGCATCTGCCTTCAGCTCAAGTCATGATCCCAGGGTCCTGGGATGGAGCCCCGTGTTGGGCTCCCTGCTCCGCGGGAAGCCTGCTTCTCCCTCTCCCACTCCCCCTGCTTGTGTTCCCTCTCTTGCTGTGTCTCTCTCTGTCAAATAAATAAATAAAATCTTTAAAAACTATGTATGTGAGGGAAAAGAGTATAGAAATAACATGAATTAAGGGAAAATATAATTTCCAGTTACAAAAACAGATTGAAATAAAAATTTAGTAGGTGAAGCAGCCAACCAGACACAGCTGAAAAGTGAATGGATGAAACTGAAGATACATCTATATGAGTTATTCAGGATGCAGCCCAGAAAGACAAAGAGATGGAAAGCATGAAAAGAGAGAGAGAGACATAGGATAGAGTGACAAAGTCTAACAGATGTCTTCCTGGAGTTCCACAAAGGAAAGAAAAGAGAAGGAAAGAACATAGAGATATAAAAGAGATTAAAATGATCGAGAAATTTTGAAAGACATCATTCCTCAGACAGTTCATACCACAAGTCATGATACAAATATCCACACCCAGTATGTAAAGTACCAAAGAAAGTCTGAGAAAAAACAAAGATTGCTTCAAAAAGAATGATATTTTTAGAGTCAACAACAGTGGAAGTGGTAAAATAATAAATAATAATAATAGAATAATATCTTGAATGCTTGGGGATACTGTCAACTTAAAAATGTAAGTTCAGCAAAACTAATTTTCATAAACAAAACTGAAAGGAAGATAATTTCATACAAACAAAATATGAGAGAGTGTATCTCTAACTGACCCTAAGTAAAACCCATTATAAAGGATGTATTTCAGGGGGCGCCTGGGTGGCTCAGCCGTTAAGCGTTTGCCTTCGGCTCAGGTCATGATCCCAGGGTCCTGGGATGGAGCCCCGCATCGGGCTCCCTGCTCAGCGGGAAGCCTGCTTCTTCCTCTCCCACGCCCCCTGCTTGTATCCCTCTCTCGCTGTGTCTCTCTCTGTCAAATAAATAAAATCTTTAAAAATAAATAAATAAATAAATAATAAAGGATGTATTTCAGGCAGAAGGACAGAAGGTTTGATAAGCAACTAAATTGGTAAATATGTGGGTAAATTTAAACCAACAAATATCAAATGCATAAAATAACAATACAATCAAATATATAGAATTAAAAAGAAAAGAGAAGAAACTAAAACGTGTGAAATAGCATATAAATTGGGAAGGCTTTACCTTGTATTATTTATAAAGAAAAAAATATGTTGATGAACTTTCAACTTTGTTTAGTAAGCATGTTAAAATATCAAGAGTAGCTACTACAAGAATACAAATAGACTACATAACTTCCAAACTAAAGAGGGGGGAAATATAATGAGAACTGTATTGATAAAAGTCAATCAATTCAAAGCAATGCAAGAGAGGTTTGGGGGTGGGGAGCAGAAAAAACTGAAAACAAAAAGTAAGGTGGTAGGAAAAAATAGAAATATATCAGTAGTCACAATAAATGTAAATCAATAATAAATGCTCCAGTTCAAAGACAACGATTATAAAACTAGATGAAAAAAATACAATCATCAGCTATATGATTACATATAAGTAAAAGATTAGAAAGATATATAACAGGCAAATACTAACCTAAAGAATGTAGAAGTAGCTAGAGTAATATCAGATAAAACAGACTTTAGCAAAAGGGATTACTAGAAATAAAAAGGATCACAGCATGCATAATGATTAAAAGTTCAATTCACCAGTAAAACAGAACAATTCTTTTTTTTGCCTTTAAAATCATTTTATACACAATTTTCCCAACTTGTTCCCCCCCCAAGTTAATAGAGCATGAATGGCCCTCCACATCAATACATAAAGACTTACTATACTTTTTAACAGCTACATAGTACTTCATTATATGAATGTAACATAATTTTATATATTTCCCTTCCTTAGATAATGCTGCTAAGAACATTCTTGTATTTTCCCATACTTGTGCTAGTATTTCCATTTCATTGGGTTTTGAAAGGCTTGTTCTATAGCTATAACTGGTAGACTTTCCTTCTTCATGTTGAACTGAAAATCTGTCAACCTGTGAATTTCTCTGTGGCTGCCACTCCTTTGATGTGGTTTTCTACTTCGCTGTGAGCATAAGTCCAGGCTTATAAAAAATTGTGAATACAATTTCATTATACATATATTTGTCTCTTTTACTGGTAAACTTGAACGCATGTGTTTTCTTGCTTTATCCTTGAAGCAAGTATGATGCAATTAAAACGTGAGTTAACTTTGTTAATAACTGAATTTCTGGACAGGTATGCTTTTACAGGAGACTGTGATTTTGTGGATCTTTCCACGTTGCTTCAACTCTGTTTCTTGGCCTGAGTGATGCCAACCACATCTGTGCATTCTGTGGTAGAGCAAGGTCAATTGTTAGGCTGTCATTAAGCTGCTTATGAAGACAGTTTAGAAGAGTTTTGCAGGCAAAAATCAAGAGAAAAGTTTCCATATATGTGTAAGCTCTGCCCCTCTGAAACTGGCATCTGAATTGCCAGGAATAGTTCCTATCCTGCTAAGTTGGAAGTAATGAGAAAGGAAAACAGGGCATATAAGTGAATGAGATTGAGAACTGCCTGTAGGAAGTAGGTCCTATGGTACTTTTATTTTTTTTTCAGCTTTTTAAAATTAATGTAATTTTCTTTATTAGAAAAATATACTTGGATATCTTTACCATTTCCATTTTTTAGAAAAACAAATTCATTATTTTCAGCTATTGTTTTAATTTTTTTTATTGTGGTAAGAATGCTTAACATGAGATCTACCTACCTAACAAATTTGCGAGTGTACAGTAGTATTGTTAACTATAGGCATTATGTTGCGCAGCACATCTTTAGAACTTACTTATCTTGAATAACTAAGACATTATATCCATCGAACAACATTTCATCTCACCGTCCTAGGCCCTGGCAACTACCATTCTACTCTGCTTCTACAACTTCAACTATTTTGGTCATCTCATATTGTGCAGTCATGCGGTATTTGTCCTTCTGTGACTAGCTTAAAATAGGACAACTCTAAATCAAGATTAGAACAATATAATAAATAAGCTTGATCTAATGTTTATAAAAGTTGCACTCAACATAAAACATGAAAATGGACCTGAAACTAGGCTATAAAACAAGTCTCAATAAATCTGAACACATTAGGATTATATAGACCATGATCTCTCATCACATTGAAATCAAGTCAAAATCATTTAACACAAAGATACAATAAAAAATTATATGCTTGGAAATGTAAAAGTATAGTTTAAAATAATTCATGGATCAAAAAAATCATAAGGGGAACTAGAAAATATTTGAAATAGAACAGTAACATAAAATACTGCATTTGAAAATGGGAGCTACAAATGAAGCAATTCCTACAGGGAAACTGAAGCTTTAATTGCCTACTTAGAAAAGAAGAAGTAGGGGCGCCTGGGTGGCTCAGTCGGTTAAGCGTCTACCTTCGGCTCAGGTCATGATCCTGGAGTCCCAGAATAGAGCCCTGCATTGGGCTCCCTGCTCAGCGGGGAGTCTACTTCTCCCTCTGCCCCTCACCCCTCTCATGCTCTCTCTCTCTCATCCTCTCTCTCTCTCAAATAAATAAATAAAATGTTAAAAAAAGAAAAGAAGTAAGCAATGAGTTTAGATCCTGACTTAAGAAGCTGGAAAAGGAATAGCAGAATAAATGCAAAAATGTAGTAGCGAGGGAGGTTCAAAATAAGAAGGAAGAATTAATTAAATAGGAAACAAACATAAAATATGAAGGTTCAAGAAAGCTAAATGCCGGTTCTTTGGACAGACTAAAAATGTGATAAACCTCTGACAAATCTGGCAATGAAAAAAGAGAAAATTAAGTATGAAAAATGAAGCACGTAACTACAGATGCACCACAAAATAAAGTTAAAAAAGAAAACATTTCGAGTAGCTTTATGTCAATAAATTTCAAAATTTAGACAAAATATATAAACTTATAGAAATATATATAAATTACCAAAACTAACTCAAGGAGAAATCAAATACCTCAATAGTCGTATAGTCATTAAAAGAAACTGAATCATGAGCTTAAAATTCTCCCACAGAGAAATACCATGCTCCTTCTACAAATAAGCTTAGTTGTACAATTAAATACTTAAGATGGTAAAAATGAATGAACCCTGATGTAATGTATGGTGATTAACATAATGATAAAACAATTAAAAAAAATGAATCAACCCTAGAGTTCCTTGTATTAACATGGAGGTTATACTGTTGTATAAACACAGTATGATTATACAAAGTTTTAAAACAAGTAAAACAAAGTAATAAATTGTTTAAGGATAAATACACATGTAGTAAATATGATCATCACAAACTTCAGAATAATCGGTTCCTGAGGGGAGACAAGAGAATGAGATCAGGAAGAGCCACAGGGTTGAGGGGGGAAAGACTTCAAAGATACTTAATATTCTACCATATTTCATCAATGTTGACAAGCCCATTCTTTTCACATTCCTGAAATGAGGATGTGCCTTACGAGCTACAACACCTTATAATTAATTATTCTTGGCATCCTTTTTTCTTTCTCGGTGATACATAAATAAGAATGTAACTTACAAACAGTGGATTCCATGAAAATATGGCTAGTTCTTAAACTAAATGGTGGAAATGGGCAGACAGTTTATTTTTAATTACCTAACTCATATATTATAAATATTTTTATATATTCAATGTATAATAAAATCAAGTTAAAATAGATTATGTTATGGGTCAGGTTAATATAGCAGCAAGATGGGGCGCCTGGGTGGCTCAGTTGGTTAAGCGACTGCCTTCGGCTCAGGTCATGATCCTGGAGTCCCGGGATCGAGTCCCGCATCGGGCTCCCTGCTCAGCGGGGAGTCGGCTTCTCCCTCTGACCCTCCCCCCTCTCATGTGCTCTCTCTCTCTCTCATTCTCGCTCTCTCAAATAAATAAATAAAATATTTTAAAAAAATATAGCAGGAAGATTAGGAAAAAGGACAAAATTAGATAGTATTGAGGGCTTAGATGGTGATGGTATATAAAGATAAGACAGTAAGGTGAAGGTGAGGTGAATAAGATCATAGATTCCAAGAGAGAGAGATAGGCACAGAAACCTGTAGGAGTCAGGACAGAATAAGATAGAATATGAAACCTGGAGGTTGGTTCTAAAGTCAAGGGGGACAAGGATGAGAGATAGGGCTGAGCTCTAGAGCAGTGCTGTTCAGTAGAGCTTTCTGCAATGATGCAAATTTCTACAACGGCACCACTAAATATGGCAGCTACCAGATACATCATAATGTTACCAAACACCTGAAATGTGGCTAGCATGACTGAAGAACTGAATTTTTATTTACTTCACTTTAATTAATTAAATAGCCACAAGTAGCTAGTGACTACAGTTTTGGACAGCACCACTCTAGAGCGTCCACGGCTCTTGAATCCAGACAGAGGACAGGGAGAAGGGCACCAGCCCCAGGACACTCACCAGCCACGATGAACAGAACGATGGCAAAGCCAAGGACGTAGTAAGGCCACTGCACGGAGATCTGGGGGGGGATGGGCTTCATCCTCAGACTCTGGATCTCCAGGGCATGCAGCAACAAGGCCAGGAAGGCACAGACCCCTGCAGGGTCACAGGGAGGCACTCTTGCTCTCTCCCCATGGTTCCCACCTTTGCTCTCAACCAGACAGAGTCACGTGGCGCACAACCAGTGCAGCTCCTGTGTGGAGGCTCCTTTCCCCAGCCCACACCTGTGCCCTCTCAGAGCCCGTAACCTCTACCCCACATGCCTGTCTTTCCCTCCATCCCAGCTCATTTCAAAGCCCATGTGCCTCACCTCCCAGGGGCCCCAAAACCAGAAATCCCTTTCCCGGGTCCCCTCTGTGCCCATGCCATTGGCTGACTCCAGATGGGCCCCCCTGGGTGTGATGCTTTGGGTACAACTCAACCTGATCTTCCCACTGTGAGCGTTCCACCTCCTTCATGTGATGGGAGCCTCCCAGGGTAGGGCCATGGCCAGCCTTTTAAAGTCAAAAGGTGCCAAAGGGCAGAGATGGGAGTCTTCCATCCATTTGTCCAAGAAACACTTATATTTCACTTATATTATATATTTCACTTCCGTATTATCATTCTGTGCCAGATTCTATGACAGTTGCTGGGATAGAGGTTATGGTAAAAAGACCCCCAGACAAATGGCCCCAAGCCAACGCAGTGAGTGCTGTGCTAGTTGGAAGTGCAGGGTGTCAAGCGACCCCCGGGAAGAGCGACTGTCATCCTGGGGGGCAGGCTGCCTCAGAGAAGGCAGCAGGAGAGAGGGGCCCTAAAAATTCCCACTCTCCTGACATCACAGAAACCAACCACCTCCCTGCCTTTGGGTGCCCCTCTCAAACCCTCCCCAAAGCTGAAGCTTGCCTGAGGACAAGGCTTGCCTCCCTGTTCCACACCTGTGAGGAAGCTGATGAAGGCTGACACCAAATTGCGCTTCCGGGTCCTCGGAAAGAGCTGAGATGCAAAGGACACCAGGATGAAGGTTGTGAGGAAAGACAGGATGACTGCAGACAGCAGGAAAACGCGGCCGAGAATGATGTGCACTGCGGGGGAGGGAGGCTGGGCTGCAGCTGGGCGCCCTGACCCGTGACAGGGGACAGAGCCCCGCAGAGCCTGCACAGAGAAGGCCCCCGGAGCTCGCCACCCTCAGTCCCACAGTGCGGCCTGGGACCATGGCTCCAACCCCACCACTTTGCCTCCAAGAGTGCTCTGGTCCCAACATTTTGTTCCCTGTGACATGGAAGTGTATGGGGGAAAAAAATTAGATGGGCAAACGGTCATTTTAATAAACAATAAAAATTACAAAATTTGCATGTGAAAACGTGAAGAATTGCATCAGTACTGGTCACACTGAAAAAAGCCGCAGGTGGAAAATCAGAACTTGTGAGGTTAAGATGTTCTGAACTCTGGGGGGAATGCTTATTTAATTATCCTGGTTAAAAGAAGTAATGAAACAGACCCAAAATAGCAGAGCCAGGGTCTTGATGATCCCCTACTATTGGCGTGACTCAGACCCATGTTAAAGCAAGTTTGTATACCCTCCTAAGCATGCAGAGATGGACAGCTGGTCGTGGGACAAAAAGACAAAGATGTTGCTAAAGACCCAAATGTTCTAGATTCTACTCTTGGGTTAAACCAATGGTTCTCAATCGGGGGCAGTTTTACACCCCCACCAGGGATATTTGGCAGTGCTAAGAGGTAATTCTGGTTGTCGCAACTGAGGGCATCAATCGGGTAATAGAGGGTAAGGGTGCTGTTAACTGTCCTGCAAGAAACAGGAAAACCCCCACAACAAAGATTACCCAGCCAAAGTGTCAGTAGCGCCAAGGCTGAGGAACTCCAGATCAAAGAGCGCACACAGTGTGGCCCATCTTCCCCAAAGACGTTTCTCCTCTTCTGTTACCAGGAGAGAGCCCCTAAGGGCTCTTCCCCAAAGAGGCTCACCTCTTTTCCAAGACAGACATCCTCCTGACCCTCCCAAGTCCCTTGTAAAACACGGCCTCGGGGGCGTCCACAGTCCATTGAGCTCATATTCATGTGCATTCCCTTGAAAACGCGGTACTCGGGCCTAAGCACCTTCTCTGCAGAGCTGCCACCCAGAGTTGGACAGGTGTTTGGCAGAGGGGACAAGTGGGGGCTGAAATCCAGCCTGCGCTCTACTAACAAGGTTGTTCCCCAGCTGGGAGCTGTGCCCACACAAAAAGGTCCCATGTCGGGGAGCTAACTGCAGCCCTGAGAGGTGATGGGGCCTCACACAGTAGGGCAGGACCCCCACCCCTCCATCCTAGGTGGAGCCACTCCTACCCCAGAAATAAACTTTGTTGCTGACACATTTGCTGCTGACCCTGGTGGTCAACTTGATACTATTAACCTTTTGTAGCCACATATTTTCTTCTAACCTCCAGAGCAGAGACTCAGAAAATGCCCTTATGGGCTTATTAAATTCTGTCCTCTCTGACTCCATCCAGTCCTCTGTCACCCAAGTCCCTACGCTGGCCCCATCTACCCCTATCCTGTCCTTGCCTCCATCCCTCCTTACCTGATAAGGGTCGAGGCTTCCAGCATTTGATATGGAAGCAGTTCTCAAACAAGCCACTGAAAAACACCTCGTGGGACTCCTCGTTTACAAGCCGCACCCAGAAGGGAAAGATGGAGACCAGCAGTATGAGCAGGTAGCCCAAGGAGGTCAAGGCGGGGGCTACGGCCCAGGTGAATCCCTTTACGTCTTTGTCCTCTAAAGTCAGCAGCACCTGTTCAAGGGAAAAGGGAGGGGCGAGGAGATGACGCCTGCAGAAATGTTAGCACATACACGAGCCTCAGGAAATGTTGATTTCTCTGCGTGGATAAACTTTACAACCTTACAGACCTCTTCAGCAGACCTAAAAAATGCATAAGACATTTTCTGCTCCTAAGTCACCGGGGGATCTTGGGCAAGTAGGGTCCCTTCTCTGAGCCCAAATTTCAGCCTCAATAAAATGAGGTTTAGGTTGGACTAGGCCATCCCCAAACCTCCGCCAACTCTAAAGTTCTCGCCACTGGATTCTGTTAACAATCACCCCACCTACAAAGACCCTCCACACTGTGCTCCACAGGCAGCTAACAACCAATAGCCCTGGGGTTTCAGGATGACCACGGGGGTGGTAATTAGGCCAGGGTCTGAAGTGTAGAAGACAAGGCCCTCAGAGTGAGTCGGCTGCTCTCTCTGGTCCACACCCTGTGCAAACATCTGTGCTCATGCCCAGGCATTGTGGCCTCTCTCGGTCCCGAGGCAGACCCCCTCACTGCAGCCGGGGCAGGGAGTGTCTCTGAGGTTGTGGGACTCGCAGAGGGCAGAGTGTGGGTGTACTCTTGCAACCCCCCCTCCCAAATCCGCTGTTTATAAACACGTGAACAGCTATTCCTATTCCTCTCTGAGTGCCGTCAGACTGGTTTGCAAACATCCTCATGGGCTTTCACCTCCTTCCTGTCACTAGCTTCTCTTCTTCCCACCTGAATAATCCTTCCCTCTGTCCAAAGCTCCCCTTAGATCTTCCCTCCACCCTCCAGGCCACACTGATGAGTCACCTCAACTGCCAGGCCTCAGTTTCCTTTGCTCTAAAATGATGGAGTCGGTCGGCCCCGAGAGCAGTCCTAGCTCTAAAACTCTCTGGTAGGAGTCATGGCTCCATCCTGACCCCCATGCTCCAGATGGGACGGAGTTCGCTAGACACTGTCAGCAGATGGTCTGTGCCCCTGTCTGTCCTCCCACAACCTCAACTTGTCTAAAACTGGCCTTCGTGTTTTCCCCCATTTCGGCCATGATCCGAAACCATACACTGGCCTGGAGCTCACGCTGGCCTCTCTCTCTCTCACCACACCTCCATCTCATCGGCCTTCCTCCCAGGAAGCCCCCAAGCCCCCACCCTTCCTGCCTGACACCCACAGGTCTCCTTTCCAAGCACCTCCGGCCTCCACACGGGTCTTCCTTCCCTGGGGGTGCCCTCTCTGCCTTCCCTGTAAAGTTCAGCTTGGCCCCGTAAACCACATGCAGCCCTCCCAGCCACCAGCCACTGTCCATCATTCCCTCCACACTTACTGGACGCCCCATGCCCAGCTCAGGCCAGCGGCAGCGATTCAGGGATGAAAAAAGACAGGAACTCGCAGGCTCTTGGTAACTACGGGGGAGAAAGACACATAAACCGGTCACTGGGTACAATGCTTTCCTCCCCCCTGCCTGGGTGACTTCAGGGCCAGGTGCACCCCAGCGCACCACATCCTGTCCGCCGTTGTCCCCCTCTTCCACCCCCCCACCACCCCGCAGCTCTCCAGCGAGGAGGACCTTGCCAGCCTTTTGGAACAGCCCTTAGCACAGGGATTGGATGACTGTGCCCCATGGATATACAACTTGGGGGATGCACTGATCCAGGCCAGACTCAAAGGACCCTAGCCATGTTAATACAACAGGGAATCGGGCGCCTGGGTGGCTCAGTTGGTTAGGCGACTGCCTTTGGCTCAGGTCATGATCCTGGAGTCCTGGGATCGAGTCCCACATCGGGCTCCCTGCTCAGCAGGGAGTCTGCTTCTCCCTCTGACCCTCCCCCCTCTCATGCTCTCTCTCTCTCTCATTCTCTCTCTCAAATAAATAAAATCTTAAAAAAAAAAAAATACAACAGGGAATCCGCAGATCCCTTTGTACTGCTGAAATGGAGAACAGGAGAGAAAGACCCACCACTGGTCCAGGATCCGATAGTCAGTCAGCGCTGGGGCAAGGACCAGAATCCCACATGGTTGCCCTCCCTCTCATTTCAGGCCTCAGGCCAGGAGTTCAGTTTGGTGACTCTCAAATCAGGAATTTAGTGGAACCTGTGAATTCTTCCTACTAGATACGCTCATTTGCATGTGTGAGAAAGGGAGAGTGAATGGGGGCGGGAGGGATAGAATTGCCAAAACTTTATTTTGCCAAAAGCATTCAAAACAGGGACGCCTGGGTGCTCAGTCGGTTAATCCTCTGATCCTGGGGTCCTGCATGGGGCCCTCTGCTTAGCAGGGGAGTCTGCTTCTCCCTCAGCCTGCCGCTCCCCCTGCTTGTGCTCGCTCGTTCTCTCTCTCTGACAAATAAATAAAATCTTAACAAAAAAAAAGCATTCACAACAAAACAAAAACAACTGTCAGCAACTATCACACTGTCTTAATTATTATTTAAAAAGACCCAGGAAAGTAAAAGAGTTGCTCGCTCGTAGAGCCTGGACCCCCAGGAGCCACCATGGGCCTGGGGGAGCTTCCTCAATCCCGGTTCCCTCTGGAAGAGGCCCTGAGCCACCCTGCAGCAGCCTCAATGCAGCCCTGTCCCCTCCCAAGGCCCCGCACAGCCCCCGGGTCAGCAGGGAACTGTACTGGGGGTTGAAAGAGGTGGGCGACGGAAAGTATATCTGGGTCGGAATGGTGGGGGTACCTGTCAGGACCTCAGGGAGCCTCATTTCCTTTCCCACCAGTGATTCGGGGCAACTTGGGCAGCAAACTGACCCCAATTTGGTCAGAGGATCCTTCCTGCTGACAAGCCTCGTCGGCCCTTCTCTGGCCCCAAAACCACGGGGACATTTTCCAGACCCCAAAATGGACCCAGATCTAACGATCCGCCCCCACCCCGCAGTGAGTCCCAACAGCCCCGTAGGGTTCTGTGTGGCCTGGAGGTGGGGGGTTGGGGGCCCTCTCTACGCCCCCTTCTCCGTGGAGCCACCCCACCCCTCCCTCCCCGGTGGCCTCCCCTCCCTCCTTGGGCACCGTTGGGGTCTCCTGGGCAGGACTTCCCTTCAGGAGGGCCCCCATGCGGCGGGGCGACCCCTCACCCGCCCCTCGGACCCATGGCCCTGAGCTTCTGTTGGCCCTGGAAGCCCGCAGCGAGAGGATGCGTCGTCCGCCCATGGAGCCCGCGGGGCCCTGCGGAAGCGGGCAGGGACTCACCCAACCTGTGGCCGCGCCCTCCGCTCACCTGGCCCTTGGCCCAGAGGCACCTGGCCTCCGGGTCTGTTCGCGGGGCGGGCCTTGCTCAACGGTGCGCAGAAGGGGGTGGGGGTGGAAGCGATCGGGAGCCGGGCGGAACTGAATTCGAATTCCAGCTCTGCCATTACCAGCAGGGTGATCTTGGGTAAGTTACTTCTCCTTCCTGGGTGTCAGTTTTCTCATCTGTGAAACGGGAATAATAATAGTAACTCCTCTGGTTGGATGGCTGAAAGGGTCTAATGATAAGCGCCTGGAAGAAGCGCCCTGACTTCTCAGGAGCCTGCCAGGTCACTCCCCTTCTCCAACATCCTCACCGCCCCCCCCCCGGCCCCACCCCTGTGCCCTCCTGAGCCCCTGTCCTGCTCATGGCCTGATCACCCTCAGGCCTCCCTCATCCTCTGTCCCTCTCCCCTTCTCTGCGCTCCCCTAAGAAGGCTGGCGGCACCTCTGACCACGCGGGCTGGGTTTAAACTGCAGGAAGAATCTTCAAAGAGAGGGCACTGGGTGGAGGTAGGACTGGTCTCCAGCTTTGGGAGATTGGTAGGGGCCGGAGTGGCCACACTTGGAGCTGGATAAGCCACCAGTCCCCACCTAACCCTAACCCCACACACACACCCCACCCTGCTTTGAGTCTGCCCTCATCAAGGAAATGCATTTGTAACTCCAAGATTTTAAAAAGCCAGTACCATCTCTGGCACTTCCACCTTTCCACTAGCCCTGGACATAGTCAAAAACAACAGGAAGGGATGAGGTGGGAGGGACCACTGATTTACCCAATCACCTGGGAGAGGCATGTGACAGGCCCCTGTACTGTCCAAGATTCTATTTGTCATCAGGTTCAGGACCCAATTTGTAGAAGCTCACCACGGAGGGCCTCTACTGGCTGAGCCGGCAGGACCAGAGCTAGGCCAGGAAGATGCCCCCGGAACACTTTCTGCCTTGATCTCTGGCAGATAACTTTAATCTCCTCCACCCGGTTGGATTTCATTCTCCAGGTGATGGGGGAAACAGTCCACTTCCAGACTCACATCCCTATATTTAGCCGCCTTGGAGAAAAAGAATGTTTTCCTCACCCTATTCTCACTCCTACTTGGTCCACGATTTCCCAGGGAAGCATTCTAATAAGCTCAGCTCGGGTCACATGCTCATTCCACTCTGGTCAGAAAAGGTTAAGTCAGCTGTTGGGTTAGGGTTTAGGGTTAGGTTTAGGGGTTAGGATTAGGTCATTGGGAAGCCAGCAATTTGGATCACCTATCTGGAGCAACATAAGAACTTTCTTAAAGGAAGAGGGATGGTATTCTCAGAAGAAGGGAAAATTACAGCAGACCCTGACAGTGTTTTCATATGCACTGTTATATAATACTTTAGATATCATTACACAGTAAATCCAAATGACAGGCATTATCATCCTCATATTGCAGATGAAGAAACTGAGTCTCAGGTTAAGAACTTGCCCAAAAGATCGTGGATGGTTGCTAAAAACATTAGCCTGTAGAGGAAAAGATTATTTGCATGGTGCTAGAATTTATCATCCCTAAAAATTACTAATTCACTAATTGCAAAGGGAAAACACCTTTACATAGGAGTGGTCTGGCAGTCGCTACCTTTAACAGGTGAACAAACAGCACTACTTAGGGTAGAATAATTTGACGTCAGTTGCCTACTGAGATGATCCAGTATGGAGACATGACATGTGAGGTATTCTTGCTAAAAATGCTTAATCAAGCCACTAACCTTGTTCCAGCTTAGAGGAAATGCAGGGGGTTGGGAAGGAAGTTAAATACCACTACAGGAGGGACACCTCAGTGGCTCAGTCGGTTAAGCGTCTGCCTTCGGCTCAGGTCATGATCCCAGGGTCCTGGCATCAAGTCCCACATCGGGCTCCTTGCTGAGCAGGGAGTCTGCTTCTCCCTCTGCCTGCCTCTGTCTCTCTCTTTGATAAATAAATAAAATCTAGGGGAAAAAAAATACCACCACAGGAAAACAGACAAATCAGTTTTGTGGAAAATCTAAAGGATAACTGTTCTTGACTCCTCCAAAGTCAAGGTCATTAAAAAAAAAAAAGGTAGAGGAACTACTCTAGATTAAAAGAAACTAAAGGGACCAAAAAAAAAAAAAAGAAAGAAACTAAAGGGACATAAAGCCAAATGTAATGTGACCCTTGATTTTTCCCCCCCCGATTCAAAATAAAATAGCTATAAAACACATTCTTGGGGCAACTGGGGAAAGTCTGAATATGGACTGCATTTTAGATGGTATTAGGGAATTAAATTCTTTTTCTTAGGTATGTTAATAGTGTTGCAATTATATAGGAAAACAACCTTACTCTTAGAGAAGCTCACTTTCAAATAATTCAGAAAAAAAGTATATGGATAGAACGCAGATATGGGAAAACAATAATAATTATTGATCTGAGTAGGGGATATGTAGGGTGTTCATTTATACTATTTTTCAACTTTTTAGTATATTGAAATCTCTCAGATAAAATTATTGTTTAAGAACATATAGGGGCACCTGGGTGGCTCAGATGGTTAAGCATCTGCCTTTGGCTCAGGTCATGATCTCAGGGTACTGGGATCAAGCCCCACGTCGGCCTCCCTGCTCAGCCGGGAGTCTGCTTCTCTCTCCCCACTCCTGTTCTCTCACTTTCACTCTCTCCTCAAATAAATAAGTAAACTCTTAAAAAAAAAAATATATATATATATATATATATACACACACACACATACAGCTGGACCCTAAACTCAGGTGTATCATTCAGCTACACAGTATCTGAGTGCTTTCTCAAATGTCAGATACGGTGTTTGCTGCATACAGTCCTTGCCCTCATTGAGCTTGCAATCTAGCACAGAGACAGGTAACTGAATAAACCTTTTTTTTTTTTTTAAGGTGATCAATGCACAAAAGAAGCATAGCATGCTACAAGGATTGCAGAGGACAATTCAGTTCAAAGGAAGACCTGCAAGGAGGCAGGATTTAGACGGAATCTTATCCCCGAAAGGGGGACTGCATTGTGCAAAGTTTTTTACTCGCTCTACAGCAAGAACTACTATACGTGACACACACGTGTGCACATGCACACGGAAAAGTCTCACTTACCTTTGCTAT